TTTGCTCTATGAGCTTGATATTGTGGCACTGAAGGCAGAGATGGACAGGATTTTCACGGAGCTTAAAGTACTTTCATACAGTACTTTGATAATTTTCATCATGTACTAATATAATTTAACTTGAATTACAGACATGCTGTCTTGCTGGCTCATGTTAAATTCCTTTTGTTTTTTCTTTTTTCCCTTTGCTGTCATAGTCCTAACCCAGAACATCAGATCAACTTTCTACTGTTGTTCATATTGTGTTTCAGTTCTTCTAGAGCAGAAATTGAAAAATGCCATTTCTTGCAACCAATCTTTTTTTGCATTTAATTGCCTATCTGGAAGACTCTCGAGGCAGGGTGCGGCTCCCGGCTTTCCTGCAATTTGGTCGATTTAAATTCTAAATTCTGTAAAAACTACATTCATCTTAGTTAATTATGTTGTCTGTGCTTCTTAAATCCCTGTGCCCTTGCTGTGCCTCCCAGAGAAGGCTTGCATGTGTGGAAATGAGCATACATGGAGTTACAGAATCGCAGAATGGTTGAGGTTGGAAGAGATTTCAATTTATGCCCACTATCCCTTGTGCTGTCACTGGCCACCACCAAGAAGAGTTTGGCCTCATCCTCTTTACATTTTCCCCTCGGATGTTTATACATATTGATATAGGACCTGTACTAAGCATTCAGATTTATTGCCTGATGCCTGAATTCATGAACAGTTCCTGGAAAGAATGGTCTCCCCTGGTGGGTGCTCTTTGATCTGCCCATCCCTCGTGTCATCTTCAGTGGTGCAGAGCATGGACCCTGGATTAGCCTGCGTAGGGTAAATTCCCACTGTGGGTGGCTTTATTTTGTGCCTCCTGTGCAGGTGTCTGAACAAGCGTCCTTGCAGCGCGCGCTTCATTGCGGGACGGCCCCAGATGCGGCAGGTCACATCATCCCAGCAGCATGTGCTGGAAGAGCTTTGTCAAACTGGGGCAGAACGAGCTGAGAGCAGCGTGGCCGTTCACCTTGCAGGCCAGGGGCAGAGAATGCCTCGGCAGGAACTGTTTTGAATTCTTTGCTTGGCCTCAAAAGTTATGTTGCAGGAGCTCTGTGGAAGTCAGCTTTCTATTTGAAAAAACGAACAAACAAACAAAAAAAACCATGAAACTCTTCTAGCTGTTCATAAAGAGACTGTTTGGGAGGCTTTGTTCAGAAGCCGTTTTTGTTCACTCATGCTTCATCTTAGGACTGTGCATCTTGAGAAATGTGTTTTCATTCTCTCACCTATTTGAAAACAAGTATTTTAAGCAGATCTGCTGTTGTGTATGAACTACCTTTATAAGCAAAGCAAGGGAGAGCTCTAGTTATTACCAGAATCTTCCCCTCCCTTTTTTTTTCTTATTATGTCAGTTCTAGGAAAACATGCAAAGAAACCAAACCACCCAAAAGCTATGTTTCTTCTAGATAGAAATATTTATATTTAAAATGGTCAATGTGAGTAGAAATGAAGTTGAAAACCCCAGAAAGCCCTGTAATGCAGCCAGTTTCACTTGCAGCTTTTAGCCATCTGATAGAAAGGAGGCAGCAGAAATACTGTAGTTTTTAGTGATGAGGGAAATTTGAAGTAAACAATTGCTGCAGGTGCTGTAGAATTCATCCTTTTGTTTCTTTTTGTTGTTAACCTGAAGCCAACAGTATGTATTTTGTATCTAGCGTGCCTGACTAAAGCCTTAATAAAAGAACTTACTCTCAGGAAACATGGCAGAGTGAGGGAGGTAGTGAAAATGGCATCAGGATTAGTGGTGTTGAAATGTGAGGAATTTGATTCTTTTCCAATCTCCTTGAGGGTCATGTTCTCAAATATTAGAAATGGAGCACTAAGGGAGGACTTAAAAGTGCTGTGAGTTTGAGTTGAAATTAATAGCTCTTTCTCTCCCCAGCGGGAAAACTAAACCAAAATAAGAAGTTTTTTGAACTTTTGAGCACGCTACTCTAAAACACTGTCAATGAGCACTTGACTTGCTACTCTTGTCAAAAGTTACTTGTTTTCATTTAGTGACTCCCATATTTCAAATTTGTCACTTGCTTTAGCCTACTAAAAGGCTCTGTGCTAGCTGAAGTGAACCAGTTTGGTGCATCAGTTTAAGTAGCAACCATTGGTAGAGACATTTTGTTCACTGTCTTCAAAAATGTCTCTAGTAAGAGAGTTTTTCCCTGAAGGATTTTCCTCAGAGTCTTGTAACTAATGGAAGTAGGAAGTGGCTAAAGGGTAGTGCTCAAGGTTCAGGTATGGCTCTGCTCTCCCAGCTCCTCTTCTCCTCCCTTCCTTGCTGCCTGGAAACTGCTGAGGCTATAAAGTTATCTCCTGTCTGCACAGAAAATAAATTGCATTTAGGGGCTTGTGATCAGGCTCTATTATCAGTTATGGCAGAGTTGACTTTTAGAGATATTTGTGTTATATGAACATGATAACAGCCTTGCGGTCTGCTAATGAAAACAGTGGTGAGGATTGTTTTAGAGCCATTAAGTCATTCACAATCTTTTGTTGTGGTGAGGTAATATGGATACGAGGCGACGGGGCCCAGGACAATCTAATCTCGCTGCCGTTCCGTCGCTGCAGGGTCCGAAGTGGAATATTTCATTGACACCTCCTCCCTCGGAAAGAAGCTGGTCAGCACTGGTTTGAGGCCAGAGGGGAAAAAAAAAAAAAAAGGCTATTCTGTTAAAAATCTCTTGGGCAAGTATTTCAATCATATGATGACATAAAATAAAAAAGTGATAAACATTTAAGTGCCCTCAGATCCCAGAGTTCCTATAGGTTGCACTGTTCAAGCCGCGTTGTGGCGTCTTACATGGTGCTCTCTCTATCTTTAGTTGGCTCCCTCTCATAACAGAGCTTGTGTGTAAATCTGAAAACCAGACTTACATTTTAGCTTGATCGCAAGCTGTCTGCCTGCCTGGCAGTCCCCTCCCTTTCCTGCTCCCCTGGGACCTTCTGAATTCCTCGGCCCATTTCGGGCTAACCCAGAAATAGCCGTGAAGGGCTGTGTTTTGGGGAGCTCGGGGGGCAGCTGGGATGGACGCGCTCCCTGAGTCCCCTGGCCGGTGTTGGGGGCTCAGCACATCCTCCTCGAGCACTTCCAGCTGGGAAGGGGCCGGGGATGGGCAGTGCCTGTGGAGTCGGTGGGAGCTCAGGGCACTTGGTTTCTTGAAAAATCAGACCTTTGGTAAGTCAGGGCATGCAGCATGTTTGTGCCTTTTCTTCATGAAGCCCTTCAGCAAAGGGCACAGAGCGTACTAAAAATGAAGAATTCAGAGGGGAAAACAAAAATTTCCTGACTTATTCTTGGCACAACATATTTAATCATGACATTTGGTCTAAGAAAATGTACAGACTCTTAAGTGCTGCCAATTTATTTTGCCCACAAACCAACAACAGAATGATGATGTGCACACAAAGGTTATTTATTTTGAACGTAGACAGGGAATGTGACTCTTCCAAATGCTTCCTTATTTCTCCCCTCGGGATCTTTTTTAACACATTGCATAATATTTTTCTGTATTAGAGGATTGTGAGATAGATATGGTAGGTCTCTTCTCCACTTAAATATACTGGTTATGTTTTCTCTTTTCTTCTTTGAAGGAAGTGCAAGCAGCGAAGGAATAGTTTTTGAACAGTATTAAGTTAAAAAGTATTACTTCAAAGGCTCTTCAAACAATTTTTTCTAAAACTATCAGCCAACAGATGACATTCCAAGTAAAATAACTAATTATGTGGGAGGTTAGACAAGCATTGATTTAGTTCTTGATTGCTTGGACTGGTAGCTAATTCTTTAATAGCAAGAAGATGAATATATGATTTAAATCTCTGGACTTGAGTCCAGATAGACCCTTTTCTGAGGGCAAGTTTCTACATAACCTGTAATAATTCTCTTGAAAAAATGCAAAATCCACTTGGATATTTTCTTTGGACCTTGGCTGACTCTTTCAGACACTCCCCATTAAAGAGCAAGGTTAAGCAGGATAAGGGAGTGCCCCAATGAAACTATTTCAGTTCTTGCAAACTGATGTTAATTTGGAATAGCTTTGCTCCCGCCAAACATTGGGTATTTATCTGGAATATCAGATGCAATTTGACGGTGATTGTATTACTAAGAGAAGACAGTGGGGCTTTGTGGGCCAAGCCCCACTACCTTGTGTCTGTAGCGCCTGACAAGGTAAGACTCCAAACACATAACTGTAGCATTTAGCGTGTGGAGATAAAATCCTTCCCGTGAACCAGAGCACCTAACCCTTTTTTGTTTTGGCAAATGGTTTAGGAAAGGGGGAGCTCTCTGTGGTTACTTGTTTTCTGTTGTTTCAGTTCTGGAGGAGCTTGTGATAATGTTCCTGCTTATCCTGTTTTCTGCGTTTGCTCATGGCAAGAGGCCTGACTGCTTGGCCAATTCTAAATTGCTTTGGCTAAACCCTGCTCCTAGCTTGTGTAACAGGAGAAATTACCCTAAAATAGTGTTGACTTTTGGCTGCATGTTTCTAAGGATCCTTGAGACCAAAGCATTACTGGAGACGTACTGGCTGTGACTTCAGTTCTGGTTAGGAAAAGCGTCTGTGTATGTGTGTGTGTATATATATATATATGTGTGTGTGTGTATATGTATGTGTGTGTGTATATATATATATATATATTTTTTTTTTTTTTTGGTCTTAAATCTATTACCTAGCAGCTGTCACTGTACAAGAGCTAAGGAATTTTACAGGTTCTGTGGGAAGCTGGTGGTACTTGAAGCAGTCAAATTGGATTTTCAAAGGATTTTCAAAGCAGCCTTTGTGAGGTGCATGTTGTGGCAACAACATTGATTCATTTATTGATTTTTAGCATCGTGAATGCTGCTATTAACTTTATCTTGCACCTCGTTGTGCTGTGTTTTCATGTTCATATTGGCTATACTTGCAGTTTGTGCATTTAATTTCATTAGGCAGAACCTGCTTTAACGTGACCTGTATTTTTGTGTTTTCTAGGAGTAACATGCTTGGAAGTGCTTGGTAGCGTTGGTCACCTGTACCGCAGCGCAAGAGCTCCAGCTTAGTCCTTCTTGCACACTTCTCTCAAAACATGGGGGAAAACGATGATGAAAAATATAGCCAAGCTGGCCAGACATTTGAAAACTTTGTACAGGCATCAACATGCAAAGGTACCCTTCAGGCCTTTAATATTCTCACTCGCCAACTTGAATTAGATCCTTTGGACAATAGAAACTTTTACACAAAACTGAAATCAAGAGTGACGACATGGAAGGCCAAAGCTTTGTGGAACAAACTTGATAAAAGAGCAAGTCACAAAGAGTATAAACGTGGAAAATCTTGTATGAACACTAAGGTAAGTGGAAAAGTTCAGTTTTGGATTTGATAGCTTAGAACTTTTTAAACTTGTTTTTCTGCAGAAGCAAGTTTTCTAGTATTGAATATAATATGCCCATCCATGGAAGCCTCCCCTTATTTTTTTTTTTTTTTTTGAAACTGTCTGATATCAATATCAACCCGTGTCTGATATCTGATATCAACCCATCTTGACAGACATTATAATATTTTTGTTGCTGCAGGTTTTGTGGAAACACAGATCAAATGGGTACCAAAATCAAGCAGTCTGCTTTACAAAATGTTTCAATAATGGCTAAAAGAATTTGCTCTATCTTTTGAGACATTGGATGTGAATCCTTTAATTCGAGGCTCCCAAGCAGTGTTTGCTTTATTGAAGAGAATTTTGGAGTGCCCAGGTCGTGCCTCGTTCAGCA